AAGTAGAACAGCAAGGGAGGGGGGATCAGCTGTGGTGCGCAGTTTAGCTTCGCTAGAAAGCAGGAAATCCTACTTTCTAGCAAAGCTAAATCATGCAGCACAGGTGATCATCAGATCGTAGCTTTTTTTAACTACTGGTTCAACCAAACTGGTAGCTAACTACTGGTTCAACCAAACCAGTAGCTTTTTAAATGCGCAATGCGCGTTTGGTGCACACACCGTGCATGCACAGCCAGCGAACCGGTAGCAAACCAGTTCACATTTCACCTCTGGTACTAGTACATTATCCTGAGGGTTATAATACTAAAGTATTCCCATATATTAATACAAAAACTGAATCAAAAATGAGAAGTATCACAGTATGCTATGAAACATAAATATATTATATATAAAAATATATACTATGAAACAGCTACTTGCAAAAAAGAGCTACAAAACAGTTATTTTACCTTGACCATTTGGATGACAATATTTTTCATTAACTAATACATCAATGTTTAGTTTTATTATTGGGCTGATGTATAATTTTTTTTAAAGCATGTCTAGGATGATTAAATTAAGAAACCCATCCTGCTTTCCTTTTTAATCTCTCTTATATGAGCAGAGAGATCTTTCCTTGTTTTGGTTTTTTTCATATCTCTTCTTGCCTGGTATTATCCTTTCTTCTTTCCTTTGACTTAAAACAATATCTTGCTTGATTGGTCTATTCCCTGCTGTATATGATCCTTACAGAGTACAGCAATCAGATCTGATCTTTCCGATTGCTGCCCTCCATCTTCCCCATGGAAGAGGTAGTCCCAACTCTTGGCTCATTTTCTGTAGCTGAACCTTTCTTCCTTGCTATAACCTTCATTCCCTGCTTCTAAAGCCCAGTACCAGCTCAAGAAAGGGTAATATGATGTGACCCACAGAGAGAATTTTAAATATATTTTACTTATAACCTTGAAGAATATCAGAAGCCACCTCTTTATTCTTTCTTTACTGTTTATTTCTTCTTTATTCTTTCTTTACTGTTTTTAATCTTTTTATTTTTGCTTTTTCTTTTATTTCTTTTTTCCTGCTTACTTTCAATGAATTTGTGTTAACTTTTATCTTCTGTTGATTTTTTTAAAAATCCATTAAAAAACAGCCTGGCATCAGCTCAAAAGTAACAGCCACCAAGGAACATGACAGCAGGTTGGCAGTTTCCAGGGCAATGTTGCTGAGCATAAGAGGATTTGGGGCACTAATTATGAAGCCACTGACCTTGGGTCTACCATAGATACAGTGGGGCAAAAAAGTATTTAGTCAGCCACCAATTGTGCAAGTTCTCCTACTTAAAAAGATGAGAGAGGCCTGTAATTGTCATCATAGGTAGACCTCAACTATGAGAGACAAAATGAGAAAACAAATCCAGACAATCACATTGTCTGATTTGGAAAGAATTTATTTGCAAATTATGGTGGAAAATAAGTATTTGGTCAATATCAAAAGTTCATCTCAATACTTTGTTATATATCCTTTGTTGGCAATGACACAGGTCAAACGTTTTCTGTAAGTCTTCACAAGGTTGGCACACACTGTTGCTGGTATGTTGGCCCATTCCTCCATGCAGATCTCCTCTAGAGCAGTGATGTTTTGGGGCTGTCACTGGGCAACACAGACTTTCAACTCCCTCCAAAGGTTTTCTATGGGGTTGAGATCTGGAGACTGGCTAGGCCACTCCAGGACTTGAAATGCTTCTGACGAAGCTACTCCTTCATTGCCCAGGCGGTGTGTTTGGGATCATTGTCATGCTGAAAGACCCAGCCACATTTCATCTTCAATGCCCTTGAAGAGGTTTGCACTCAAAATCTCACGATACATGGCCCCATTCATTCTTTCCTGTACACAGATCAGTCGTCCTGGTCCCTTTGCAGAGAAACAGCCCCAAAGCATGATGTTGCCACCCCCATGCTTCACAGTAGGTATGGTGTTCTTTGGATGCAACTCAGCATTCTCTCTCCTCCAAACACGACGAGTTATGTTTCTACCAAACAGTTCTTCTTTGGTTTCATCTGACCATATGACATTCTCCCAATCCTCTTCTGGACCATCCAAATGCTCTCTAGCAAACTTCAGACGGGCCCGGACATGTACTGGCTTAAGCAGGGGGACACGTCTGGCACTGCAGGATCTGAGTCCCTGGCGGCGTAGTGTGTTACTGATGGTAGCTTTTGTTACGTTGGTCCCAGCTCTCTGCAGGTCATTCACTAGGTCCCCCCGTGTGGTTCTGGGATTTTTGCTCACCGTTCTTGTGATCATTTTGACCCCACGGGGTGAGATCTTGTGTGGAGCCCCAGATCGAGGGAGATTATCAGTGGTCTTGTATGTCTTCCATTTTCTAATTATTGCTCCCACAGTTGATTTCTTCACATCAAGCTGCTTGCCTATTGCAGATTCAGTCTTCCCAGCCTGGTGCAGGTCTACAATTTTGTTTCTGGTGTCCTTCGACAGCTCTTTGGTCTTCACCATAGTGGAGTTTGGAGTGTGACTGTTTGAGGTTGTGGACAGGTGTCTTTTATACTGATAACAAGTTCAAACAGGTGCCATTAATACAGGTAATGAGTGGAGGACAGAGGACCCTCTTAAAGAAGAAGTTACAGGTCTGTGAGAGCCAGAAATCTTGCTTGTTTGTAGGTGACCAAATACTTATTTTCCACCATAATTTGCAAATAAATTCTTTCCAAATCAGACAATGTGATTGTCTGGATTTGTTTTCTCATTTTGTCTCTCATAGTTGAGGTCTACCTATGATGACAATTACAGGCCTCTCTCATCTTTTTAAGTGGGAGAACTTGCACAATTGGTGGCTGACTAAATACTTTTTTGCCCCACTTTATACCCAGAGCCCTTGTCAAAGTAATATTTATTCTTGCTTCCTAATACTTTACTTTACTTTACTTTATTCAAATTTCTATACCGCCCTTCTCCTTTCGGACTCAGGGCGGTGAACAGCCAAGATAAAAACATCTATACAAAACATCACAGTTAAAAAATAAAGTTAAAATAATTTATAAATTTGGCCCATAATTTAAAACTTGTCAATTTAAAATCAATATTAAAATTTTAAAACTAACCCTAAAATCAAGACAGACCGGCTAACTGGAAAAAATAAGTTTTTAGGGCCCGACGAAAAATCCGAAGGTCGGAGATCACTCGTATCTCTGGGGGTAGATTGTTCCATAGGGTAGGTGCCACCACAGAGAAGGCTCTCCTCCTGGGGGTCGTCAGCCGGCATTGTCTGGCCGACGGCACCCTGAGGAGGCCCTCTCTGTGGGAGCGAACCGGCCAGTGGGAGGCTATTGGTGGCAGAAGGCGGTCCCGTAAGTACCCTGGCCCTAAGCCATGGAGCGCTTTAAAGGTGATCACCAACACCTTGAAGCGCACCCGGAAGTCCACCGGACTTGTAATATAGCAAGTAGTCACTTTAATTACCTAGCATCTGTTAGAAAGCAAATACTTCCAAGTCTGATCCTTTAGGAAATTCACAATTTGATTGCTGAAAACTTTTTCCTGGAGATGGTAAAGGGATGCAGAAGAGAAATGGCTATCCTTGATACTAATACAGATAGCAGATAACATGGAAATAAAGGCAATATTTGCTGATTGAAATGATGAGATAATTTTTGATTCTTGATTTTGAAAGAAACCAAAGCTGAATATAGTCAAAAGTATATCTTGGATTTTTAACATTTTTAATCTTAATAATAATATGGCAAGTAAGATTTCAAAGCAAGAATAAGTAATGGGGAAAAATTGCCCATGACTTAATGGAAAAGCTTTTCAGGGACTCAACACAGCAGGGCTTAGAATAGGTGAACTTTTTATTAAAATCCAAAAACTGAACCCATTACTAGCAATTGATACCTTCTAGGATGATTCTCAACCTTATATTCTCTTGGATTCAAAACTTACTTTTTCTATATTTTTCACAGAGTGAGTAAAAACTATTTCCCACACTCTGATGTAAATGATACTTGCTTACTTAGAATCTTCACTCTCCTGCTCTGGGAAAAGCTAGCTCCCAATACAGCACTGATACCATCAGTGTAACTATCTGTTCAGTTAAAAATATCAGGAGTTTGCAATTGGAGACCACCATTTTCAGTTTTGAGTACTTCTGTTTACCATTCCCAGGGTTTTACAGACTATAGTAGGCAGCATGGTGGCCTAGTGATGAACATACTTGCTTCCCACTTGGAAGGTTGAGACTTCAATCCTAGGTAGGGGCAGATGTTTTTCTCTTAGGGCAAGATAAAAAATATCTGCTGTGAACATGTGATGTTAGGAAGAGCATCCAGCCAGTAAACACTCAACTACATCTTGTCGGCCCAACTCTACCCCAGAGATTACAGGGTCGTAAAAGGAGAGTTTTTATGGTATTGGCCATGCAGTAACTCATCTCCAAGATATTAGATACTGTAGTCTGTTATAAATGCAACTAGTTCAAAAATAATTGTGCTAGTTTATTATATGTTTCGTGTCTTGAGCACCCTTGACTTTTTGTATAAATATCCAAAAAAATCCCCCACTCCTGCATAGTATTTCTCATTCACCGGTATCAAGCTTGATATCTAAATTATATGATCTCTGAAGTCACACAAACATAATTTCTCTATGATTTCCCTCTCTTCTTAACATACTTTACAGAATCCTTCCACCAAAAAAAAAAATCCCTATATCAATGAAATGATAGTATGTCTTTGTACAATATTAAAAATAATTAATGCAGGGTTACAGTTTGTCAAGATTCTGCTTTTGTTTTATGCCATGAGATTAGCCTTTTCTTCACTCTCTTTGTTCTAACCTTCTGTTGCAGAAGATTTTCAATTTTTTTCATAGCATCTCACATGATTCCTTCATAAATTCTTTAAGATTTTGCATGTATATCCATTGGTCCTTCTTGGTCTCTGATACTTTCTGCTTTGATGGCAAAAGTGATTCTTACTACTTTACTGTTTCATCTACTGTCTTTGAAGGTTATACTCCTTTGGACTATCTCATCAGTGAGAAAAACTGTCTTGGGAATGGTGAGGATCAATTCTTTCACCCATTTTTCTCTTTTTATAGATACAGTAAGTTTCATACTCCATGTAAATGTTACATTCTTACTGAAAGTGATATGAAATTTCCTGTTATTCAGACCATGATTCTACCTTGATCTCACCACCTTTGAAAGCAATAAAGATTTCACTGCATTATCTTAACATACTTGTAGATGTAATTGGCTATTTTATGGGTTTGCACAAAAACATTTCATAAGATGTCTTAACTTTTTGTATGTCATTTCACCTCTGAAGCAAGCATTCACTTTTTCTTCACAATATGTTTACTACCACCACTCAGACACTATTTATACTGCATAACTGCTAACACACTTGTGTTCACCATTGAGAATCTGAAAACATTTACTAGAATAGAGTCTGATCACATTCTACTAGGAAAACCTATATCAGATAAAAGCTGTTCTGATATTGTTTCTCAAATATCTTGTTCATCACTCACTATAAATAATATGTACAATCTCAGATAGTTATAAGCTTTAGTAGAACTATGCTTTCTTCAGTACAATATCCAATTGCCTGGCTCATCTCCAGTAAATACAACTTGCTACTTGCCCATTTGCATGATGCACAGAAATTATGGGGAAAAAACATGAGCATTTACTTAAACCCGAAGTTATTTAAGCTGTCATCTCTGCATTCAAATAATCTTCCATTTCTATAGAAATATTACTATTTTTTTTAGAATGTAACTATTTCAGCTAATAGTAAAGAACACCTTGAATGTATAGAGGGAGATGGAGACAATAACAACATCTGGAGTACCCCTTTGAACACCATCATCATTGACAAAATCAACATACAACCACTTAAAGAACTTCAGCTATCAATAAGCAGCCTGACCTATTTTGTAGTATTGTCATCTATATTGTTTGCCCTTTCCCTATTTTCTTTCAAACTGTTCTCTAGTTTTGTTTCACAGATAGGAGCAATTTTTCCAGTTTTCTGCCTACATTATTTGTTGCTATTGGCATCTGACTTTGTAAGAATATTGTTCCTCCACTAGGAAGGACATTTCTAGATTTCTGCCTATCAGAGTAGGATACATATCCTTTTAAAGGAAATAAATATATCAATTGTTATTTTTGTAAGAAAAATTTTCATTCTTAGTTACCTAGATATGTTACCCAGTTATGTACTGAAGATATTGTTGTGCCAAATGTCATTCAATAAGCACTTTCTTATTAGATGCAAGCAACTCGGTAACATCTGTACTTGGGCAGTTTTTGCCAGTTGCAGGTAAACTGAATACCTGTGCTCAAGAGGTAAGTATATTTTTTTCCTTTTCCTCCAAGTATTTATAATCTTATACTATATGTTGTTGTCCCTTTTTTGTGCAAAGGATATCTCTATATTTTATTATCTTCCCATTGTCTGCCCAGATGCATGGATTCACCTTTCTGTGATTTTATTGTAGACTTTCTCTGCAAAATAATGCAATTAAGAATAGCTTCCCAGCAAAAACAGCATGTTTTTTCTTTCCATGCTGAGAACTGTAAGCCACCCAGAATTGTTTGGAGTCCAGCAGTTTCTAAAATTGTATGAATAAATAAATAAATTTCATATATTAAGAGATTATGGTTGGCATCCCTTGTGTGGAGCTTTCAATTACCACTGCAGGGTTAGGATACACTGAGGCAACTATCATGTTTCATGAAACTGAATAGAATAATTCAGAAGGAGGAAAAAGTTCCCCTGCTGGAAAACAGGTAGAGTACAGAAAAAGTATAGGATCTGTCAACACTCATAGTATAAATAATATATTGTACTTGAACAGGGGTCCTCAAACTTTTTAAACAGGGGGCCAATTCACGGTCCCTCAGACTGTTGGGCCGGGCTGGCTGGGTGGGTGTGGCTAAGTGGGCATGTGACTGAGTGGGCATGTCCAATTTAGCAGTCCATTAAACAATACACACAAATTAAACTTTGTTTTGCTCCTGGGGTTGTTTTATTTGCTTTTATTTGCATGTTGCTCTTTTGGTTGACTTTTCTTTTTATTATATTATTTTTTAAGTTGTTTAGGAATCTAGTGGTCCACTTCCGGAAACTCAGTTTTGCAGCAATTCTTCTCAGCCCCAAGGAGTTTACAATCAACAAGTCTCTCTCTCTCTCTCTCTCTCTCTCTCTCTCTCTCTCTCTCCCTCTCTCTGACTTTTGTCTCTCTCTCCTTTTTTTTTCTCTCTCTCTCTCTTTCCCTCCCTCTCTGTCTCTCTGTGTCTCTCTTTTTTTAAAAAAGTTTTTTATTTTTATTTTTTATCAACATATTCAAACATACAGTCTTTTGTCCATCATTAATCATTATTCATTCATCTTGTTCTTTAACTTCCATTTGCTAATTAGTTGTTCGGGTCTGCTCTTCTACCATCTCCTTCCTTTATTTTAATACAATCTTTCCATTTCTTCCCTTCTCTCTCCTCTTCTGTTTCTTTCTACTTTCTTCATTCCTCCTCTCCTTCCCTTTTCTACTTCCTCTCCTCTTTCCCCCTCCTCTCTTCTTCCTCCCTTTCTTACCCTCTCTCCTCCTCTCTCCCCCTTCTTTCTTCCCCTCCTTTTCCTGTTCTTCTTTTCTTCTCTTCTCACCTCCCAACTCTCCTCCCTCTCCCCTTCCTTGTTGTTTCTTTTTTCAATTCAATCTGAGATGGCATTCGAGCAGCCCCGATTTCTATTCACATACATCTTCATTTCAAATTCCTTTTTTACTTTATAATTATATCTCTTCTTACATTCCTGTACATTATTAATCAATCCATGTGTCATCTGGGTGTAACATTTTTGTGCCCTCATTCTTCATAATATATCATCATTTCTTAATACATACATTTGTCTTTCCTTTTTCATTTAATTTTAATATACTACAACTTAATCCTCCCAAAGTTCTTATCTTTACCATGTTTATTGTCTATACTCATTTTCTATCCATTGATAAAATTTTCCCCTTATGTTATAATACTCCGATTCTTCTTTCCCTTTAATTGTCAATGTCAAGCTATTCATTTCTGCACATTCCAATATTTTCTTAATTACCTCTCCCTTTGTAGGAATTTTTTCTGCTTTCCAATTTTGTGCAAATACAATTCTTGCCGCCGTTATTACATGTATTATCAAATATGTGTGTTCTTTACTATACTTCTCTGAAAGAATACCCAACAGGAACAATTCTGGTTTTAAGTCAATATGTTGCTGTGTCATTTTCTCTAGCCATATTCTAATCTTTGCCCAATAGTTTCTCGCTTCTGGACATGTCCACCACATATGATAATATGATCCTGGCATCTGATGACATTTCCAACATTTAGCTGATTTAGCTTTAAACATTTTTGCCAATCTTTCTGGTGGCATGTGCCATCTATAAAACATTTTATATAAGTTCTCTTTATATGCTGTGGCCATTGTTAATTTATAATTTCTTTCCCATAATTGCTGCCATTTATTTAACTCAATTGTATATCCAAAAATTTTTGCCCATGCCATCATTGTTTCTTTGACTTGTTCTTCTAACTTCACTTCAAGTAAATAACTATACAATTTCCTAATCATTTTTCCTCAGTTTCTGTGAGTATCTCATCCAATACTGTCATTTCCAAGTAAAAACCATATAGCTTTACATCTTTTTCATATCTTGATTGTATTTGCTGAGTATACCATTCCATTTCAATCCCTTCTTCATCTAATTATTGTTTCATTTTCAATTCCCCTGTTGCTAACTTGTCTTTATATATTATAATATTTATCATCTTAATAAGATTTTGGTGTACAAATGCTTCCATTGTTGAAAGTCATGTTGGTATTTTCAAAAAATGTTTCTCTCTAATTTTTATAATGTATTTCTTACATAGTACCTTTGAAAATAGCTATGCATCTTGTTCTTCCCATACTATAAAAAGCATGCCAACCTAATTGTAGATCATGCCCCTCTAAAGTTAATAGTCTTGTATTTCTCAACACAATCCATTCTTTTATCCAAGATAATATTGCTGCTTGATAATATAGTTCCCAGTTTGGTAATCCAAATCCTCCTCTTAGTCTTGCATCTTGTAACATTTTCATATTAATTCTTGCTTTTTTCCCCTGCCATATAAATTCCAGTATCATTTTATTCAAATTTTTGAAATATTTCTTTTCCAATTTCATTGTCTGAAATAAGAACAGCAGTCTAGGTAATATGTTCATCTTAATTACTGCTATTCTTCCCATTAATGAAAGTTGCAATTTTCCCCATTTTCCCAAATCTGTTTCAATTTGGCCTTTCAACTTGTAATAATTATCTTCTTTGATCATTGCACATTTTGCTGTTAATTGTATTCCCAAATATCTCATTTTTTTAGTAATCTGAATGTCTTAATTTCTCCATTAATTCTCTTTTCTGTTTCTCTGTGATGTTTTTCACCAATATCTTTGTTTTATTTTTATTAATTTTCAATCCTGCCACTTCTCCATATTCCTCTATTTGTTCTATCAGTTTGGTCCCACTTCTAATGGGTCCTATTCTACCCTCTAGAATAAACACTAAATCATCAGCAAATGCTTGTAATTTATACTCTTCTTTTTTAATTTTTGTCCCTTTTATCGCCTCATTTTGTCTTATATTTCTATTTAACACCTCTAATGTCAGCACAAATAACAATGGTGATAGAGGACATCCTTGCCTTGTTCCTTTCATAATATTTACTTTCTCCGTCATATCTCCATTTATTATTATTATTGCAAATTGTTTGTTATAGATTGTCTCAATCATCTTTATAACCCCCCCAAATTCCATAATCTATAATTGTTTTGTCATAAATTTCCAATTCACATTATCAAAAGCTTTTTGCGCATCTAAAAACATCAATGCCACTTGTTTTTCTGGGTGTGCTTCATAGTATTCTAAAATATTAAGAATCAATCTCATGTTATCTCTAATTTGTCTTTTTGGTAAAAAAGCCATTTTGATCTACATGTACAAAATCTTCAGTCTATTCGCCATTATTGATGCAAATATTTTATAATCCGCATTTAGCAAAGAGATCGGTCTATAGTTTTTAGTTTGTTGTAAATCTGCATCCTCCTTCAGTATAAGAGTAATAAACGCCTCCATCCACGAGTCAGGTATTTTTGCATTTACTAAAAGGTCATTAAACACTTCCAGCATCATATTACTAAACACATCCTGGAAAGTTTTATACAATTCTGCTGGTAATCCATCTGGACCTGGTGTTTTGCCATTCTTCTGTCTTTTGATGCTTTCTATCACTTCCATCATCATTATTCTTGTATAATCTTCTCTTCTGATACTGTCTCTTGTTCATAAAGTCACTTATAATATTTCTGTACCACTTTTTTTTCCTTCAGTTCGGTAACATATCTGTCCTCCCTCATCTATTAGTTGATTAATAAGTTTTTTCTCCTTCTCCTTTCTCATTTTATATGCCAGCTATCTACCTGGCTTATTAGCATTTTCAAAAAAGTTTTGTTTAGACATCTTTATTTGATAGTCAAGTCTTCTTTTTCAATTAAGTTCATTTCATGTTTTTTCAAATCCATTTGGTTTTTAGTCCTCTTGCTTTGTGTATTTTTTTGTAATTCCATCTCCAGTTCTTTGTATTCTTCTTCCAATTTTTTCTGTGTTTCTCTTTTCTTTTTATTTCTTTTTCCCAAATAGGTCATTGCCAACCCTCGTATATATGCTTTAACTGTATCCCACACATTTTGCAGTGAGGTTTCTTCCTTTCTGTTTTCCTTAAAAAAGAAACCTAATTCTTTCTCTACAGATTGTTGAAACTCTTTTTCATTTAATATTGTTTGATTCAGTGTCCATCTTTTTTTAAAAAAATTTTTTATTATTTTTAAACATAACAAAACATAAAATAGCCATCATTCAATACAATCACGGAAAGTGTGTCGATTGGTTAAGATTCTTTTGTGCATAATCCCATATCCCAAATTACAAATTATTTAATTTCTCTTATTTGACAATTTTATGTATCCCTTTATATTATTATTCTCATTTAACAATTATTTAACAAAGGCTGAACTCCCATAAGTAAACACTTCATATATTTTATCATTACAATAATTTCATATTTCATACTTCATCTCCGTGCTTTATTATCTAACCATTGGTAAAACAAATCCCATGTCAAATAGTATTGTTTGTCTTCATGTTCTCTAATTTCAAATGTCAATTTACTCATTTCAGCACAGTCCATAATTTTCTTAATAACTTCATCATCAGTAGGTATCTTTTCTCTTTACAATTTTTAGCAAATACAATTCTAGCCGCTGT